CCCGTCCACCTTCTGACGGTGTCTGCCTCCGCGCACAAAAAATGAGATGGGCATCGCTGCCTACGCCGACGGCCAGAGGCCCGCGCATCTACATTTTTTCGCCTGACCCCATCAGTGCCGACCCAACTACACCACCACGCGCATGCCTCGCGGCGGATATGCGCAGCAGCAAGAAGGTTTCGGTCATCCCTTGAGGGTGAATCTAGCCCTGCTCGCCAGAAAGACCCCCCCCTTCACTACAACCCATATCTAAGCAAAAGCTTGTCGAGGAGAGAGGGGAAGAACGGAGTAGTTGACCTCATTCCTCTCCATCCCTCATGTTGATCAATGACCACCAGTCACACACAAAACGATCCGTTCATCTTCAACTTCACCTCCTTCCATTTTACCCGTCACATGTCATAAATAAATAACGAATGGGTACTACTGCTGTAGTAGTCTTTCTGTGTTTGTGTTTATTTTAATGATGTTTCGACAGTATACGCACAGATGACGGGTTCCGCGGTAAAGACGGATTGTCTCTCCCGCGGCGAGGAAAAACTCAAATGAAAAAACTCTTTCGGATTAATGTCTATAACGTTTAAAAGCATTTCAAAAAAAGAAACAAAAAAAATGTGATCGGATCACCTCGATATATTTTTTTCACCGCGTTGCCAATTTCGACGCCTCCATTTCTCCTCGGCAATCGATTCCGCTTGGCCGATTTAGGGAAGGCATAAAAGCCACTCAGAAAGTTGATCAGACAAAAACTCGACGTGGGAACCGAGAATCCAAAATCCCAGGAATTTTGAAATTGCTCAGCTACTGTCAGCTTTTGAGCAGCTGAAAGTCCATTGCAAAGCAAAACTGAGACATTGCAATAAAAAATATACTTATTTGTTACCCTAATTCGAAGTCAGGAGAGATTGAATCAACAATCAATGTGTCATGTGGAACGTGTAGCGGGAGGGGGGATATTTCAGTGTTATTCCTAGTAATTCCAGGTTTTCCCTGCTTTTGCGGATATATATCAGTGCGTAGCTATATCACGGCCGTATCGATCCTGATCGAAATTCTGACAACGGATTCTTCATCTACACTACAGCATTACCCTAAATTTTACCTGAAAATTTATACGATTTGAAGCGGCGCAAATTCAAGGTCTCATCAGCAGCGTCACGAGCATATATATGCGTGTCATCGCGATCGGATGCTGCAGCTAGGAGGTAGACAAGTTGCTAGATTTCCCCAGATTGGCTATTCCTGCCTCAAACTGTTTCAGGGCGATTTGATCACGGGCGGTGAGCTCTGCTGTAGATTCTGCTCCCCGCTGTAGCTCCACAACGAGAGACGCCCACAGGATGACCAGGGTATCGGCTTGTAGCCACGGGCTACAGCCTTCAATTCAAGTCACGCAGCAAGCTCCACCTCTCAGCGGTAGTCCAGCTACTACAGCGCATCGCGCAATCTCGCTCTCAATCAGAAACTTGGCTCTCAATCACACGAAAACCTTGTTGTAACTGCCTCGAGGATGCGTGACCATTTTAACACAACGTGGTGCGATCATCCCCCTTGCGCGGAGCGGGGCTTCTCCACCCCGCACAACATGATCTACTCGACCACCATTCATTATGGTTACCGCCAAAAAAAACGGAGGTAAAAAAAAAACCGGTAACCTGGTTGCCGAGTTCACGAAGTGAATTGGCTTGCTTTACAACAATGTCGTTGCCAAGCGACGAAAAACCAATCCCGATGGCAAACACCGGGGGAGGCGGCTTGTTTTACAACGTCGTTGCCAAGCGACGAAAACCCAACCCCGATGGCAAACACCGGGGGGGGCATCTTGCTGGGGGGGGGCGCAGACGCGATTTTCACCTTATTTTGCCCACTCCTTCATCAATAAGTTATCATCACGATATCCAAATGGGAAAATAAGTATATTTTCGGGATCCTCGTGACCTAACGGATGTTGGTACAAAATTTCAGAGGTTGGGACCCATTTCTTGCTGCTCATTGAAAAACTCGTGAAAAATATTCGTCTTTAGCCCGGAACCCGCCAGATGTAATATTCAACATATTATCGTCGAAGCAGCATTGGGCACATTGGGTGACGCATTCATTCCAGACTCGAGACATGTTTCCACCCTCTCCCATCCATGTTAGAAATCATCAGCATACACACTATGTGACCCCGCTTGGGTCGTCCACCTGTTAGAATATTAAGCAGAGATGCAGGATAGGGTCCATAGGGGCAGACGACAGTGTCCAATGATGGGAGAAAAAAAAAAAAAACACTCCCACGTGTGTATCATTGTGTGTTTGTTTGTGGTGTATGTCGTGTGTACAGAGTGGGTCAAAACCCCCAACGCGTTGAAATATTCATATTTGATTATTTCATCGGCAGACGGGCAGAAGATATTTGTCGGTGGTTTGCAACAAGACACTCACTCATGGTTGATGAAAAAAAGTTGTCTTTACCTTTGTACGTCGAGAAGAAGCACGGGTACATACTGGTTTAGAGTTTGGGAACAACACATACGGAGGAAGTAATATTTAGGGGACTAGGCTAGTCTTGAGACAAAACTACTGCCGTATCTCATCGCGATCTCTGCGAGTGTGGTGGGGGCGCAGGCCCACGAAAATGTTTTATCAATACACGGACTACAAGTTGACGACGCGTCTCCCCGTGTCCTGTATCAGATTCGCTCCCCTCCCATTAGACTGATAGTACGCAGTTCGTACGGTTTCACATTTGATCGCCCTATCCACCATGGACACAAAAACAGAAACCGCCTCTTTTTTGCTCTTTTTTCTTGTCTCCTTGAAATCTGGCCTGTCTTGGAAGTGCTCCAGACTCTTAACATGCGTAGTGCGCAGACCGCGATGGCACACACAATTACCGAGGCAAGAATGTCTCAGCAAGGAGGAGACTACTGCTGTGCTGTGTCCTTCTTTGTGTCCGATATTTTTGGCACGCAAGTAATCGGTCTGCAATCGGAACAGTAGACACACCCCGAGGAGGCTTCAGAATACGTGGGGCGCGAGCACGATGTCGCAGCTACAAGGCTACATGTAGGTGAATCCACGTGGGGTCTATGGTGCCTTTGTTTAGTGTAGTCTTTTCGATGACGGAACACCAGAGGAGGCAACCGTAACAGTTGCTCCGCGGAAAGCACAATTAGTTGGGTTCAAAAACCCGGCGTGTGTTTCGCCATGAACCCGACCAGCACTCTAACGAAGTCGGACCAAGCAAGCAAGAACTCTTGTAGTCCCATGGCGTATATACAATCATGGAAAACAGGGAACACATAGCCTTAGCTATATTGGATGATGCTATAATGCTACAAAGCACGATCGCAAGGTGGGCGGACACTCGACAGACCTTTAACCCGTCACTCACGCTAGGGCAAACCTTTCCCGAAAACAGTGTCTCGCCCCGTTCCAACCAATCAATATGTTCCATCACAACTGTCACCCCATCACACGAGAACCACAGAAACATCAACAACAGCAGCTCTAAACCTATGGAAAGCAGAATATTTCGTCCCGCAATTATCAACAAAATGTCCACCACTCGAATGTTCTACTGGTGTGCGTCTCACGGTGTGCATTCCTGAAGATTCGACTTACTCCGCGCGAGGTATGAGTGGGCGAAACGGGCAGTCATCTATCGCCGGTCGCCATTTTCTGGCGGCTGAAAACCATCCGATGTGAGCAAAACAAGCATATCTTCCACGCTCTCGCCCACGAGGTCATGGGCTGCAACGACTCGTGCCAGTGGGAAGCCGTAGGACCATACCATCTCTCTCACGGCGCTGCTTGTAGAGCCATCAGCTGAGTTCGGTGATGCTTTTCGCTGAGGAATCGTTCGCACAAGCATGGAAGGGGGAGCAAGCGGTGGTCAACTTCAAGAGCACAAGTTTCGTTGAAATTGATACCAACGTATTGCAAAACGAACCGAGGGTGTGGAGACGCTAGAAATTCCTAAAATGCCAACGCTCTCATTACATGAAAAGAGAATCGATCTGAACATTCCGTGACTACTCTACAGCGGGTAGGGTCTTACATATGCAAGCAAGAGCTCAACGTATCAACCCAGGGGGGGCACCGAACACTTACCGAACCTTCGCCAGGCGGGCTTCCAGGCCTTCGGCGCTTTCGAGACTTTCCGCTGCCTTCTTCTTCTGCTGCTCCTCCGCCACTGCTCGTCCACCCCCCACGCTCCACCCTACCCGCCGACGACCCAGCACCACTCGCCCATGCAGCGGCACCCCCCCCCCCCCGTTCTTCGCGACCTCCAGAAACCCTGCTGGCTGCTCCGCGTCCAATAAATCTCCCACCGCTACCCCTGCCTCCCCGCCGAGGGACGGAAAAGGCGGCACCGTCGCTCTTGCCGTTGTTGCTGCTCCCGCCGCCACCGGTTGTGCCGCGAAAGTCGGCGAGAGAAGCAGTTATGGCCTGTTGCACGAAGGCGAGAGGAGCGGTTGGTCAAGGAAACGAGTACGCATACACGCACTAGCAGAGAGAGAAAAGTCCCGCAATCAACTGATTGGCCGATGGTATGCACGTACACACGTATGCATACGTACCTAGGACAAGATTTCACAAGCACAATAAACCAGGAGAGCTCGTCCTGTCAACTGTCCATCATGAGTGCGGTATGGCCGCCCAGTGCAGGACGAGGTGAAGGCATACAGCAGTAGTTGCCCATTCCCACCAACGACGGAAAAAATGCGAAGGCCATGTCTTACCACAGAAAAAGCTGGAACGCGTATTGCAACGTTGTTCTCTAGACAGGGGAAGAGCAAAACATACTGTCGTAAATAGTCGGCATGAAATGAAACAAGAACAACCCCATCGAGCGAAATCGCTCACTCATAAACACACAATAACCCGAGCATGCCTACTCTCACCGCCTGCTCCAACTCTTCTTCGGTAGCTCTCAGATCAGACTCCCCGAAGCCCTCCCCAAATGAACCATGCGTTCCCCGCCCTCCTTTGAAGAACGTCGGCGATTCGCCAGAAAAAACGTGATGAGCGGACGAGCAGGATTCTGCCAACGCGCGCTTGAGAGACTCCTTTTCTGCAGCCTCTTTCGACAGGCCAGGAATCCCCAGGCCCTGTAAACAGGACGTTCCAAAGGTATGTATACGGGGAGGTTTGGTGTCAAGTCAGATATGAAGGGGGTCTTGGAGTTTTTCATGCAACAGGAGGTTACAGGTGGCACTATGATCCCAAATCATGCCAGCGCTGCATGGGAAAAACAACTCCCGACAATACTTTGCTGCACAACTTCACATGGGATCAGATCGGCGATGAGCCTGTGCTGGATATGCCCGTCGCTAAATGCGGCCACAAAGGCTGCTTTTGGCGACGGCGAGCTCGAAACTTGGCAATCAACAGACCTTGCCACCTTGCGCGCTGCTGCACAATACAAAGAGTTCGATCTACGTGTAGTGGACATGTCGTACCTGTCCAACGCTGGCTTCCTCAGGGTCCACGATTGCATTGTAATGGTTTCCTCCGTGGTAGCTAACTCGGATGGGAGCATTGCCCGAACGGTATCCTCCGTGGAAGATATTGATCGGAGCAGCTGCAGAAACGAACAACAAAAGGAAAGGGGCAGCGAAAGGAAAACAAATAAAACAAACCCAATATGGGTACTCGTCGTAGTGTTGCTCGCCCCGTTACGGATTCCTCACACACAGGTCCAGCGACAAATTGGCAGGGACAGAAAGCAGATGGAACGGGCAAGAATCACCTACAGCTGGCATGCGATGGAAGTGACACAACCAGGCCAACCACGCAACCCTTAGACAGCAAACAAGCCATCGGGACAGCTTTAACTTGGCGTCCGCCAATCAGCTGTCTCCATTCAACTTGGCGCCTACTTGGCGTCTTGCCTATTTTCGAGTACTTTTGGCAATTACGCCGCGTTTTCTTCTGCGCGCACCGCATTCGAACCAACTAGTTTAGAGACCGACACACATCAGGCGGGAGCCTGGGCGCTGCAACTGGCGCATACCAGACGGCAACAGCAGGATAGAACTAGCAGAGACCACTCTGGTATCTGTGTGCACGAAGTTTCGCGATATCAGTCCACACCAAGTGTCGATGACGAGCACGCAGCAGCACACGCTAGAAGAGCTACAGCGAGGAGTGAGAGGGAGATCGTACAAACACGCACGCACGCACACACCGCGAATATTTATGTCGAGCTACTGCACCACAGCAGTAGTACCCACACCCAGGGATCCACGCATGCTTTTTTATCATCTGCATGCCCGTTCTCTCGCCAGAACAAGTCAAGCAACGTCATGATGATGTTCTGGCACCTCCGCTTTATTGTATTTTCGATATTTTAACTCCATCTATCTGTGGGTCCGTTCTTTGGAGTGAACACGCCACGCCAAAGCAATCGCCATCAATCATACATCCCGACGAGTCGGTATGTTGGCAACATGGCAGAATATATGAACGGTGATTTCTTTGCTGCCCCGGTGACGGCACCTCTGCTCTGGTGTCTCCTTTCCTTAATTGATTCATTGAGTGAGGTGCAACATTTTGAAAGCGTATGGCCCGCAGATGAATAGGTTTCACCGTATATTGGCGGGCTTCGCCCGCGTTATTAAACTCCCAAAAGCTCTGTCCCGGTACAACCAAAATGTGCCATGAGTGCGTACTGTCGGCCAATCCTGTAGCCCACACATAGCCGAAGTAGTCGAGTGCCTCTCATGTATCATGAAATGCGACAAGTTGATTCTTGCTCACTTCCTTTCTCCGGCACGTAGACCTCAATAGGGCGATTGAACAGCTCGCTAGCAGCCTGCATCTCGGGGTTATTCCCGTGCACGCCGTCTTTTTCCTTGCGGCTGACGTAGCTGTCAAATGCCTCGGACACAAACTGGGAGTAGTGGTCTCGCTCCTGGGAAAAGGAAATAAAACGAGCGGCTTGTGGCAGGATGCACTATATATACATCAGTGCCTATCACACGTTCACAAGCATACACGTGATTCCCTCGGAGAAAGCTCAAAAGAGACCACAGCAGTGTCATCCAGGGGTGATGCACGATGAAAATAAAAGCAGGCAGCAGTACCGCCCACAGGTGGCTGCCAGATGCCACTTCTAACGTTACCCTAGCTTAACAGCTCTCAAAGCTGACGTGTTCAGACTCGAGCAGCCCAGCGAACCTCAGCGAACCAAAAAGAACAACAAAAAACATCTGCATACAGTCTCGTCTCTAGGCACGAATCCAGACGTTCGTCTACATGGCGGAATGTGGCCTTACCTAGCCCACACCCTCCAGTTTGACCTGTTGCGTTTCGGCATTTTTCTCTAAATGGCATACCAGTCCAAGATAAAAAAAGTAAAAAAATGCAGATAATAAACTAATCAAGGCGGTAGGAAAACTCGTACGTCAAGGACTTCATCATACAACCAGCCAAAACGCATTTCCAACTCGTCTTCAGTCTTCGCTCCAATACCTTGCGCATGAAGTCTAGGCATTGGCGGCGGATATCGCCATGCATGCCTGGGTCTCCATAAATCTGCTGACTGATTGCTCGGAATAGACAGTTTCCGTCGCCTTCCTGTCTTCGCAATTGCCAACCCTTTGCCTTAAGCTCAGCCTGTGACTCGACACGACAACCAAGCCGGCAGGTGGGAATACAGCCAAACAGGTAGTGACGCCAGGGTCAACACTGACCTTGTGTTGCAAGTGGCACGGCTGCGGCTGATTCAAAGAGACCGGTCGGCGATCGATGTGGTGCACGAACGAGCTTGAGACATTCTATTTTAATCCCCAGAAATATCGAATAGGCCGTGTGTGTGGTGTGTGTCTTTGTCTTTCAACGGAAGGACAAACCGGTAGCCTTGCGGCTTCGTCTCAGGCTCCAAAAAGCGGTAAAAAAGGTGCATGACCCCGGATTGCTCTCTAGTCAGATAGGAAAGCCGCCAGGTAGATAGAAAATGCAACTTGCGGTGACATATTGGAAACACGAGGGAAATAACTACCGAAATCCGTCGTCCTGCGTGCGGGTAGAAGGCACGATTCGTCAATCCGGGGGTCCGTGCATCCAACACAAAAGATTACTTTACGTTGGCAGTGATACCTTTGCAGGGGTGGGGGTGGGCTCAGGGAATGAACCCCATGTCAACACAACCAACGAGGGACAGACTCAAGCACGCGCGAGACCCGCCGTGTAATGATTGATTGGACCTGCTTAAAGCATAGCATACGTTCCTATCGATGGCTTCCGATGCCAAACCTAACGGCAGTCTCTCTGCATGTGCATAACTCGTTCCGTACGATTCGTTTACACAGCAGTGGGGGCATCCTACCCTGTTCTCCTAATTTATTCTCCTGTGCGCGTTAGAGGCATTCGTACCGACAGCAACGGCCAAGTACAACATGTGGTTGGTACAGAATACCCGTCCTTCCGAAATATCATCGACATGGACGCCAGCATAAACACGGTGCAATAGCAGTTGCGCTATAAATGTATCGCCTACTTCCTTTTCAATTATGTTTGACCATGGGGTCACCTCGAACGCTTCCTCCATGTCGTTTTCGGTAGCAACAGCGGCGGCCTCCTGCGAGAGTCCACCTCTGGGCTCTATCCTCGACCCACTCGCGCCCCCAGCGCCGCCGGCTCCTGATGACGAGAAGCGATCCCTGGTGTGGACACAAAGGCGCATCGACGGCAAAAAACATGCCGTACTGCAGTGAGCAACAGGTTGTCTGAGGAAAAAATACTAACCCAAATCGAACTCTGGACATTAACGTAGTTATCAAAACTCGAGACTCCAAGGCGGTTCCCACCCCACACGCAAGCGACTCTATGGGGTTCGGTCACACCACGTCCTGCGTTCGCTTCATACGTGAAAATCAGGTTCTTAGCTGCTTGATCTATCCCGCCACGCTTTCTTCGCATAGCAGTCTTGCACCCTTGCAGTGGGTACACTTCCGTTTTAGGACCCCACATCTCTGCCATGGCCACGATAACTTGTCTACAAGTATAAAAGTAGTGGCTACCAGTAGGACATCGGCCGGATCCAAGCTACACGCACGAAGTCGAGGCTTGTGAATCTCTCTTTGGCAAAGAATCCGTTGGTGCAGAGATTGGTACGTAAATGAACAACAGGAGTTCGGGGAAAAACTTAACCACCTCCTACATGTACCGCTCGACAACTGCCACAACAGGCAACACAACCGAGAACCACGTACAGAACGGTTCCATACGCGATTCACAGGGTACCAAGTGAGTGGTGAACATATACGCACATGCATATATATATGATTCGCTCAACTAGTTCGAGGGTCAAGGTTTGCATAGACACGCCGTCGGATGGAGGAGGGAACGAGGGATGGAGCGTGCCGAAGGTTTGACTTCAGGTGCACTGCTTTGCTTGAGAGAGGCATGGGTGGGTTGCACTTGGGCCGAGGCTCACGCGAAAATGGAATGATACATCGAATGCTCCTGGTACTGCATTGATCCGGTGTGCTACATGACCTTATCGGCATGGGTTGTGGGACCGAGAGATAAAAAAAAAACGGAATGTAAGAGCGCCGAGCACCCAGTTAGTTACTGTAACCGCACGAGTTTGCCCGCCTGCGCTCCCTCCCAGAGGTATAATCACAGCAGTGTAGGAGAAACAAAGAACAAAAACGGGAGGTCGTGTTAAGTTTTGAACGTCAACTCAAATGGTAGAGGTCACCTCAACGATCGCCCAACTCTTTCAACAGTACAACCCACATCTTCGCACTTTGTCCACTCTCTCGACATTTCATCAAACTCACGCGGCATCACGGGCAGAGGTCCTTGCCGCCGGCCGGAATCCTTGAGCGGCATTTGCTGTCGACACGTCACGCCCATCATCCACATTCGCCTCCAAGGCGATATTATCCTTCGACGGTTCTGCCACGTTAGTGGGGCGTTGCTTACCGTTCGTTCTGGGACGAAGGACATCTGCTGCCGCCTCTCTCGATGGAGCTCTTGGGTGCGGTTGGGGGGGTTGGTCCGCGTGAGGAGAGACTGGGAGGTGTTGAGGCGAAGGTCCTAAACCCGCCGCGTCGTCGTCATTTCCGGGTGTTGCTGTCGCAACAGGAGCGAAAGAGGGGTCATTCCCTTTTTCCTCGCCGTCAGGCAGCAGCACCCGCATGGTCACACAATCAAGCCCACGCGAGAAAAAGGTGTGTGAGAAAGGCCACAAAGACTGGAAGGCGGCAGCAAGGGAGGCAGAGTTACTAGGAGTTCGCGTGTCGTTTGTGCTGTTTTTTTTGTTTTTCATGGCGAAGGGTCTGCGCTCCGTCTGGCCAATCAACGACAGAGGGAGAGAGACCAGATGCTTAGAAACGCTAAACTATAGTCTGCGGGTTCCCCAGCCAGAGCAAAGCCAGAGCAAATGGAAGAATAACTTGCACAAGAGAGTGGTATGTGCATCGGCTCTCTACACCGCGCACGTCACGAAAGGAGGCGCCTTTCTTCCCACAGAGGTTCGATCGGTGTTTGAAAATATATACATATCATATTTGTGTGATGCACCAATTCCATTATTACTTCTTCACAACATCAAAACTGCACCTGTAGCGATCATGTTTGCTTGTTACTTGCTGCATGCAGTGCTCCTAAATGGTGGATATCGGCATCTCAGCGAATACGCGTTGTTCGCAGTACTGTTTTGTAACAGGTCGGCCAATGGGGGATGGTTGGTAGTCGGTGGGAGCACGCGTTGGTTCTGCTGTAGGCACCCTCGGTAGCTGATACAAGTACTCACATTCCCAGCAGGCCAATAATTCGAAATTTCAAAATTTGTCACGAAAAGAAATGTCGAGTGCCTATTTTTGATGATATATGCTGTGCTCTCGTGGAAGGATGGTTGACTCTAGACTAAATCCAAGAAAAGCTGTAGTTTTTAGCCTGTGTTTGTTACTGGGGGAAAGGAAACGAGTAATCCAGCCAGGCTACCTACCTTATTTGAAATCGAAATTGTCGCTTCTTAAAATACATACCAGCGGGCATCGTTGGGGCGCCTACTCATGTTGAATTGGGAGAAGTTACTTTACCCATCTACAGCAGTAGCGGCTACGGTTTAGGAGAGGGTTGGTACAAGCCAATTTTGCTCTCTTAAATCGGTATTTCTGTTAAACCGTTTTGGCTACGCTTTAAGAGAGTATTCCTTTAAACCATATCTCAATTAAGAGAATATTGCCTTATACCGTAGCCAACTCGAAAGGTCGTGGAACACTGACACCCTGACGCCCACTCCAGCAGTATGTGCCGTCAGAGCTCATGGAGAGCCGATCATTTATGTATGTCACATGACCCAGCTAGCGTCAGCACCTTAGGCTAGCTCCACACACAGCTTTGTCTGTTGGTCGGCGAGCGATATGGACTCAAGTCACGGTACGCTCTTGGAACCTGTGCTGGGAGATTGGACGATGTATCAGGTTGTCGTGTGGCACACTTAGTGCGCGTGGAAAAGTATACAAGTATGTGTTGCTTGTTGCGAGCCGCTCTTCTCTGGCTGCGACCCAGCAGTCCCCGCGCCTGAAGTCTCGCGCTCGCGGGAGGCCGCACAGGTGTGGCAGATGCGGTGCACCTCAGTGGTGCCGAGCGGGTCCACCACACCACAGATACCATGGAGGTACTGCCCGCAGACGCCTCTGCATTTGTGTATTGTGAAATGAGGCGGGCCTGGCGTGTCGTCGGGCATAGTGCAGCGGTCGCCCGCTGCGCAGGGCATGGTGTCTGCAGCTGTGCCTGTGTTGAGAGCTGTGGGATGTGTGTGATGGCTACGTGACGTGGCCTCCAGCAGCTCGATTTAAGATGAAATCTCAGAAATATGCCAAATTTCTCTTATATCGATTTTGGTCGTGCCAAGCGATTTCCTCTCTTAAACTCGTACCTTCTCTTAGAAATTCCTCCTTAAATCGTAGCCGATACTGTACCAACAAGAACCCTGGTGCGCGCGTTATGTCCTCATGAGTAGTCGAATCTCGTATAGTCTGTACAAGTTCGTTTCTGAGTGACCAGTGGTAGGACACGAAAAATAAAGCACCACCAATAAGCACGAGGGTACTTTTGTGTATTTGGAATGGGTTCGCTTCTTCGTCGTAAAATGCACCCACCCGCAACCCCTCGCCCTGGCTCTTTTCAGGTTGTCAAAAGAAAACAAACGAACGTATCTCGCGTGACTGCTGGCTTGTTGGGGTTGCAGTGTTTCGTTTTTCAGGAAAACTTGACGAATATGTTCACATCCCGGAATGATGGCCGACGAGGGCCGGAATGAAGTGCAGTTTCTTTCATGACGGGTGGTTCGGTGACACCCGCCGCAACGAGCTGATCTTGTTGGGAGGTAGAATGACTGCAACTGTTCGTACGCGTAAGAAGTAGGATATACCGAGCATCCAGACGCTTTGATTTCGTTGTGCGTGGGTGCTTGTCGCGGAATTTCAGGTGCAAGTATAGAAAAAATGTGCTTCTCCGTCACTGTACGAACACAGAAGGACACCCGTTCGAGATACAGCCACAGCAATTAAAGGGGATGGGGATGTGTTGAACTCTTCACCGAAATGGATGGAAGAAAACCGGATGGATGCTGGGCTTTTTTGGGGTCGTTAAGTCTATTCACTAAAATATACCAGTGAGGCCAGCTGATGCAAGTTAACTACTCGGGCATAAAGCAACACTTGTTTTGGTACGTTCCCCTTGACGTGGAGCATGGGGAAACGCACAAACGAGGGCACTCCATCTGACCAAAAAGCGACGATGTTTCATCTCAACTGAGACCTGTCTTCAATTACAAGGCCGCGGAGAACCCACTGCCGCGAACACACAATGTTTTTAGCTTCCGCTAGGAATTACCACTCCCGTAGTCTGTGCGGGACCGTCATTCTCCGTTTTTTCCCCAGAATACCATCAGCCCCAGTTCTACCTGTGCATGAGCTACTACGGTAGTTGGCTTGCCGACCTTCGGTACAATGAACATGATTGAACTTCCTCGAAGCTTGGTCAATCTCGCCTCTCTCCCGAATTTGATGCGCGGACAACCAATTCAACGGTCAACCGCTTCTGCTATTGTGAAAGTTTCAGATGCGAAGGCAGGAGCTGGAGGAGCTTTTCACTGTTTGGCAGGCAAAGCTTCTTCACCCCCTTGATAGATCTCGGTGGACAAATGTCTTGAACACGACGGTGGCATCACTTCTGTCAGCACAACCACTTCAATGTCTGACAAAGGTACAAGTGCAAGTGCAGTTCATTTCGATCCCCGCCGGAGTGATTCTGTTTGCTGCGAGCAGTATTGTATGTCGATATGTAGGACATCACCTGGTCGCGACGTATCTTATCTTGCGACGACACTCAAGCGTTGGAGGTTTGTTTCCAGTTTCGGCAATCCCGCGGCTTTTTTTCTATCGCCAAAGATGCGCAAGCAGGAAATTCAAACTCTTTTTTCTCGCGCGTGACGTCCCGTGCCGCAATAGAGTGGACGGCTCGCGGTTATGATGTGTATCGTGGGGAGTGGACGGGCAGGCCTGTTCTCGCCAGCTGTTCTCGCAGTTCTGGCGTGCGACTGGGTTGATGACTACGGGTCCTTCAAGCTCCTGCAGGTATAATCGTAGGCATCGTACCCGTTTGGCTCCACCACAACTGCCTCTTTGCTGGCTGGCTTCTCCAACGTACGCTCCATTTGTAACCTACAATGTTGTTCGCTATAGGTGGAAGCCTTGGGCTAACGAAACTGATGGGGTGGACTCAATTCACAATAGCGCTGTTCATGCATCGGACACCTGGTCTCCACTCCTCCCACCTTATTCCTGTTGATGCCGTCTGATTTTTAAATTTCGGTGTCGGTGTGCAACGAGTGGACTTTTTGTGAGAGGACAAGTGAGTGTTGTCAAGGGTCCAATCGTTCTTGTTTTTTACTCCCCCATGACATGAAAGACCTTCCAAAGCGATCATACATGGCTCCAGTTCTGTGCCGAAATCGCCCAGTAGCCCCTTGCATGTCGCATGATTTGCTCGAAAGAGCGATTCGTCCAAACGACGTTTTTAGCAGTCAAATAATTGTTTTCAAGTCGCCATCAACTCCTGTCCGCATTTTCAGAATACTGCGCGGCAAGCGTCGCTGTCACGCCTTCGGTCCGAATGTATATCTGGCAAGCCCCCACGTCAGTGGTCGCAAGAACATATTGCTGATTACCTCGAGGAGGGATTGCAAAGCACCATCTCCGGCCCGTGGAGGGCGCTCGGCATCAAGGGATCTGCGAGGTCTGCAAGTCTGCGCGATAAACAGTAACTCCCCGCGTCTGCGCGTACATGTGTTGTGTCGAACACAACATACGAATTTCGCACGGTAGTAGGTAGGACCGCAGCACCGCATTTGGGTTTGTTGTTGTTGATGGTGTTGTTGTTTGCTGTAGATGAAGATCGTACCGACAGTATCACTTGCCCCCGTACCCAAGACAGCCAAGAGATGAGTTTCCGTGGCCACGGCTTGTCTACAAAATACAGTACAAACCACCATACATGTAAGACCCGCGTACAGTACCACTCACGAGAACATGTTCAACTTCTTCCAGTATCCAGAAAACATAAAAAGCAAATAGAAATTCTTAGAGCAGTGGCCAAACACGGCAAGCAGAGCCTGTCATTTAAACACGGGGCCTGGATCAACATGTATGCATGCTGTATCCAGGACTAGAAGTGGACATTACCACATAGAGTAAACCTGGGAGAAGGTATTCTCTCAAAACAGCTTTTGCTTCCGACCTGGCTAGGCCAGGCTAGGGTAGGCCTCCTCGCATCCTGGAGGTATGGTGATAACGTGATAAGATAACAAGATAACGGCTTTCCAAACCAGTCAAGGATGCCACAAAATTGGCCACGCACACCATGAAAGATATATTCTATCTGTCCTAGACACGAGCAGTATAAACGCGCCTGTTATGCCCGGAAAGGGGTGACTCCTCCGTGCCGCACGGTTTGCGGCAACTCGGCTGGACAGGGTGGTTTTTTACGCGTGAGGGTGATTCAGAGGAAACGAACATCACGATCAATACGTTCATAAGAATGGATCTCTGTGCTCGCCGTAACCACGCGGGTTGGTTCAATTTCCGCTTCGTTTATTGAGCTCTTGAACCTGTCGACGCCTCCTCTCCTCGACACGCCTTGATGGTAAACTGCGGTTCGGTTCTCAGGGAAAGCGTTGACAAGACCTCTCGTGAAATTCGCGGGCTGGCCGCGCGATGCCGAGAAGCGTGCGATCGGTCAGCAGCTAGGACGTTATTGTGCTGCTATCTGGACTCCAACAGGTACCGTCATTCTTATCGGAAACGGCGTGCAACATTGGTTGTGCATCGCCGTTAATTCTCTGGGCCATCCATCCCGTCTGTGGTATGGAGTGCCGAGCAGCAGGTCATGCAAGCTACGGTTTGATCTTTTGCGATATCTTTCGTGCCCCTGGTGGTCCAGGCTCGAAGATTTTATCGACTCGCTCGTGTCGTGGGGCCAAGAGCAGTTGGGAGCATCGAAGCCCTCTATCTTCGACGAGGCATTCCCTTTTCTCGAGGGGAGGCAGATCGAGGCCTCCCGTTCGCGTGCGGACCAGATGGTGCACGCTGGCGTCCAGGCCTCGAAGGAGACAAGGGAGTCCCGTAACGCCCAACACCCGTCATCGCCAAATTCGCCGGCGGTGTGTTTCGCTTCGGATGCAGAAGAAGACGACCAGGAGAGTGCGGAACGACTGCATGAGGGAAACAGCATCAGAAAGAGAAGAAAGCTCGGGATGTTACACCTGGACGAGAGCGTGTGCGTGAAAAGGGTGAGGAACACATACTGTGTGCTCGAGGTGAATGTGATGCCCAACCATTGCCAGGCACTCACCCGCGTGTTGGCAACGGAGACGGCAATTTCGCCATAGGTGACCTGAAAGTGACGGCGCCTGTCTGGTTGTCTCCGTTCCCCTCCCCTCATCTCCAGAAGGGTATTCCTGGTCCAGCAGCGAAGCTTTGGCGGCTCGCGGTTATCACCAAGTGTAGGGGGGATGGAACTTACGACGTCGCCTACGAGGATGGCGAGGTAAACCTACAGTGTAGGGTCTTGCGGTGGATGGCCTGTCAGGTTGTTCACGCCCTACTGTACTCCTGTGTTGTGTAGTTCCTGATGCGCATTTTCTGCCCGATCCTTCGTCCCACTGTAGACCGGAAACCAACACGGGCATCTAGAGAACCCCAACACATTCTTGGTCTCTTTCGGGGGTGATTCTATGCGAGAGGACAAGTGTTTGGCTTTTGCTTTTTGTCTTGTCTTTTTGTCGTGATTTTTTAGTTCACCTTTGTGTAGACAGTTTCGTGGCCCTTGTGTTGACAGTCTTGTTGCACGTCAGCCCACGAGCCATTATCCAGTTTCGGACCAAAGTATCCGCACACCCGCGAACTAATTGCAGGCCGACCACCTAGTTCGCCGGGCTGACATTTTTGAAGCGGAAGGCAATGCCGCGCCCACGGAAGTGCTGGAACCGCAAGAGGCGGACCACTCGCACCTACAAGGGGGGCGCAGTCCACCTCAGGCGGCAGTCGGCGACACTTGTCGTCTACCTCCGCCTTCAAAGGCTGGCTCGGTATCAGAGGTAGAGACAGCGGGTGTAGCACCAAACGAGAGACATTTGTACCCTTGCGCCTCGGAGGCAGCCAAAAATTCTCCCTGCTTGGCTACCGGTTGATTCGCGTCCTGATTCTGCGTGTTATTTAGCGGTGCCATCTGTGAGCGCTTCAGCCCACCAACGCGAAGCCTTGAATCAAAATTCGCAGGGAGAAGAATTATGGGCTGTGACCGACGTCGACGACGACTGTGATCCATCGCACCGAGGAGGAACCTCGGGCAGTCACTTGATCAAGAGGAGAAACAACAAGCGCCGCATCCTGGAAGACGACGATGAGGAGTGCGAAGAACCTCCCTCGGCCGAAGGTATCGAGAACATGACATCGGTAGGGGCCCTTGAATCGCAACCTAGCAGATCCCCTTATGCAGCAGAGAAGAAATTATGTACCGACCGATGGGATGGAGAGGACTTGCTTTTGCGCGACAGCTGCCCTCACCGAGAAGCAGAGCCGGCAAGTCCCTCTACGGCAGAGAGGGAGGACGAAGATGAAGTTGAGACGGATGAAGAGCTGACTGAGAAGTGCGAGGAAGACAGGACAGAGAGAAACGAAAACACCGGCAAGGTCATGGAAAAGAGAGGGCAAGGAGGTGGCGACGGAATCGAGCAACAAAGTGAAGAACCTGTCGGCGATGGCGTAGCAAACCGAATGCAACCTCTGGTTGAACACTCGAGTGAGGCCCGGCAGAATGCTCCCAACGGGGAGAAGCTCAGGATGACGCTACGTGCCGAGAGAGACCGTGCAAGTGCGAGTGGAGCGCTGAACGCATCGGTTCAGAACGACAAGGAAATTAGCTACAGCCAGGAGCCAAACGACACGAGCCCCAGAGACGAACAAACTCCGAACGCCTTGGTCGATCATGACGTGGTGGGCAGCCCGGTCGGCAAAATACCCGACCCGACGAGTCTCATGCGTGCGTACGGGAGTGCTGGTCTTACAAGAGTTCAAAAGAGTTTTGGGCAGTGGTTCTCCCAGCGACGGTCCGCCTGTGAAAGTTAGACTTCGAAGTAGGTTGGGAGAATACTAGTTTTGAGACTTTCGGAAAGGGCCACAGGGACCGAGCTTCTCTGCGGATTATCCCGTGTTGTCGGCAATCTGAGGAACCTCGTCGCAATTGCCGAACGGAGCACGAAACAGGCGGTCCCATGTACGATGAGCGCAGTAGGTATTTTGTGAGAAAAAACGTTTCGGAAAAAGAGCGATGCAGGCGGTGTAGTCACGCGCATGGTTTATTCGAAAACATCCTGTACGAGTATGTTCTTTCAGCCCTACACGTACGCCACGAAGACAAATGCCAATCAAAAAGTGCAAAAAGCGCAAATAGAAAAAGCTGGGTCGCAAAACAGACGCGAACGCGTTGCGCATTGTGTCCTATTGGACTTTCACTGAATTCAATTGAAATCTTTCAAACTCGTCCTCCGTGTGGCAGGGGCATCAACCCCCCCACTCTAGAAAGCTAGCTACCTAGCCTCGTGTGGCCCCGACAGGCTGCTGTTGCGTGATGCAATGGATGTTACCACCGCCCAAAGCCACAGCGCGGGTGTCGACTTGAATGACTTCACGTTCCGGGTAAAGCGCCTGGACTCAGTCGCGAATATGAGAGCGCACGGGGGGTCGGCAGGGAGAGGCGACAGTGAACCCATCGGCAAACCAGCAGTCCATCTGTGCATCACGTAAAAATTACTCATCAAGTGAACATGGACTGACCATATTCCGGTTGCATGAACGTGCCAGCAGCCTGCTTGATCAACAATGAATGGTGTTCAGTCTAAAGCAAGACAAAGGGTAACAATCGCGGAAACTCCTACAGGTATACGAGAGAGATAAGCCTCAACCAGCGAGAACAAGTGTTGTATCTTCGCAAAAAAATGAAAATTGCAAGCTTCCACCCGTGAGGCAATTACGTTATGTTGCGACCAAGAAGAATTGTCAGAACAATATTGGAGAAAACTTCAACCCGCACTTTAGAGAGGCCGCCTTGTACGCACTGTCGAAACTAAGAAACGTTTCTTCGACCGGCGTTCTCGGAGTTCCTATCTACTGGTATGCTTTTCGGAGTAGGGTGGATAGGAGCGTAGCTGGTGCAAGGGTGCAACCCTTCGTGTCGTGTGGTGCTTGGATCCTTGTCCGGTTTTGAGGGGGGGGCGGGGCGTCTATCCTTCTGCCTGCCAGCCTCGGGTGCGTTTGCCGAATGCGGCAATAACATGTCTTGTTTCGAATCTCTTCACCGCCATCTGCAGCCCTCCAAAGCCACTTACTTTCTCGCGATTTTCGAGCTACTCCATGGCAAATTTAAGATTCCGAAATAATGCGGTACGGGCCAGCCGAATATGTGCTAAGAATTTTGTGTGGGTAATAGGGCGTGAGTGTGTCACGGTTGCCCTCCGCCATGAATTTGTTGGCGGCCAACTTTTTCCTCCTTCGGATCGCATACACAACACACAAGACCACCCTACACAACCGACCTTCCAACGCCGGACACCTTTTCTACATCCTCATGTAAGCATCGGGTGGTTACCCTTGTTTGTGCGAATATTGCGATACTTCGCTGTTGTGTCCCAGACGCACAAGCATGCGGCGGGTAGCCGCCGTGCCCCCTGTATATCGGAATATTGAAGCGCTGAGGAGTCTTTAGATTTGATCTCGGCTTCTACAACACTTGTTCGCAAACACAAGTTTCGCTGCCTAGAATAACCGTATACTTCCTCTGTCACATAAGTAAAGTCCGTTATGGGGGAATTTACATACCTCACCAGCCAAGGTGTTCCTGAAGCTCTTGTTAGGTTTGTTGGAAAGCGCTTGTTACGCACATAGCTTACAAAATAAAAAAAATCCGACTCACAATTACGGAGAATTAGTGTGTCAAATACGGGACTATCTTGCGAATATTTTGAAAACATTTTGAGAATATTTTAAAGAATATTTGCAGCTTTGTGCTGTGTGAGCACCCACTACCACCACAACGACGTAGCTATCATGGGGGACGACGCCCAGACACCCCCACGTCGTAAGCGGGGTGCGGAAGTATCGTTGGGTCGTCGGTACGCCATGGCGGTGGAGATAGCGTTGGCGATTCCGCCGGGCAAAGAAAGGGTACCCAAGGGCTTTCTAGGCCCCCTCGCCGAGCGGTACGGCGTTGGTAGTGATTACCCCAGAAAACATTGGGCGGACGCGACATGGGTCGTTGAGTACAAGGGGGGGGTAGGGTTAGGACCCTACGCCTGTCGGCTTTGCCCCGCAAGTAACTTGATTTTAGTGTGGCGCCCCCAAGTGTCTTGGTTTAAGTGTGGACCTCGAAAATGTCTTGATTTTAGTGTGGGTTCACTACTATGTTGGTTTTTGTATGGGAGGGCGCGAAATGGATCGTTCAGTAGAGGTAACCTTGGGTTTAGGGTTCGGGATAATTCTTGTCTTTTTTTGGTATGTTTCGTTTCGTGCCCCCACCCCCACCCTCATGGAAAGGGGCAAAATACGGCCTTTTTTGGCCTGACTACTTTTTTGTAAGCCGCTAGTGCATGCAGGGTAGTGCGCAAGAAAAAAAAAGAAATATGGGTTTCAACCCGAAAAACGCTCAAGATTTCAAAAGAAGTATCGCCTAAGACATCGGACACGGCTAAATGGCCGTGTAATCATAACGGACTTTACTTATGTGACAGAGGAAGTATCATGTTACGGTGTGAGGTAGCAACGTTGTGGCAACGATGGAGTTGGACTCGAACTAGTCTCAAGCCGAATCTCGTTCGTCCTGGCTCTATCAACGTGTAATTATCTCTCGTTCCGGTTGCTTCCTTTTCGCTGTCTCTACCCTACTCATCACAACTCAATGGTTGTACACCAAGATAATTTTCTCTCGCTGTGGGGAAGGGGGAAGGAAGCGGTCGTCAGATGAGGCCGGGGGTAACTTGCTCCAGAGACGACTTCGTCCTCACACAACACCAGGCGCGAAACGAACACCATCATGTACGCGCTCTTCACCTTGAACAATCTCACGGCAGCTTCATCTTCAGGCACGCCATAGCCTGGTAGGATGACAGCCCCATTCGCCAGGTAGAAGTTCACGTATGATGCAGCCAGTCTGTCACCTTCAGCCGTTCAAGAATCTGAGGTGTTATTTCGCTGTGAACCAGTGACATGGCGGAAAGGCTTACGCGTCACTACCTCTAGCCAAACGAGGAGCCAGCCCGCTCCGCAAATGCATCCATATCGCTAAATAACCAAGCACCCCCATGAACCCATCAAGTATAGATTTCAAACATGCTTCTGATCACCCTACATTATTTTTGGTTCGCGTCAGTACCCATGTACCTCCTATTTCTCAACAAGGAGCCACATACGAGGGTTACCCAGAAAAATAGCTGCGTTTGTGTTGCGTGCCTCCAGTTTTGTTCGTTTTTCCTACCCCGCATCATTTTTTGGTCGAACTTGTACTCGCCGACAAGTGCGTTCTCAAGAGTGTCACGCTGGGGCTAGAAGCCACAACTTCTCCATCCGAAAATTATCCAAAGGCCTCGAGGTAAGACCATGGGGGGTGCCAGGTCCCCAATTCACCGCTGGTACGCTTTTGACGACATCAGGTTGGCCGCTGATGCACGTGGTTAACTGGCCGAAAACACTTATAAAAACATTGCCCGCAAGCAAACAAGCAGGCCTTGTTACCTTGAGCTCGTTCCCGTGAACCCGAGGTGTGCTCCAGCGACGACACATCTCCTTCCGTCGTGTACAGAGGGCCCGGAAGAGGGCACTTGTGAACCTTTTTTGACCATGAACGAACGTGAGCATTCAGATCCGATACAATACGACTGTATTTCGGCTAATCTCGCCGAGCCTTCCTTGTATCGAGCAGCATCCCGGCTACAGGCATACAAATCTCCACATGTTGAGGGTACCGTAAGGTTGCGAGTCAGCCAGAGCACAGAGCACAGGGGTGCGATCGATTTTCAAAGCGTAGTTTCTCCACAACCAGGTAGGTGGGAGCGCCAGCTGATACTTCTCAGGAAAGCCCTCGATAAGATACTTCCAAAACCGCCCTTTTTGACAGTGGTACTGTACCCTCCTGGTTGTGGAGAAACTACGCTTTGAAAATCGTTCGCACCCCTGTGCTCTGTGCTCTGGCTGACTCGCAACCTTACGGAACGTTGTACTTCTTTCTGATGTTCAGATTCCAGTCGTGCGAAACAACGCACTTCGTAGTAGCTTGGTATAAACGAAACTCGAACTCCGGCTTGAGTTGACATCGATGGGTGCTGTTCCTTTCTTTGTCTGACTGCTGTGTCGTGTCGTGTCGTGGCGTGACCACGTGACGACAACAAAATATGTCGAAACATGTAAGGTACTGGTACATACGGCATCAGTTGTCTCCCGCTTTCGTTTCGGTCTTCCTCTATGGACACCAGTACGTGCGCAGCAGCACGATAGTTTCGCATTTGTGTAAGGTGGGGTAGGGTGCGGCTTGTACGTTTGTGTGTTTGGTTGAGTATACAATTGGCAACTTCCATACCAATCAAAAAATGCAAACAACTGGCATCCCGTATCAACAGCGACCATGCATACGTACATACGAGAGTGACGCTGACACCGTCCCCACATGTAAAATGTTCGCACATATGCATATATGTACCTCGTTCCGGCAGCTGAAAATAAGCTCAATCTTAATCTTAGATTAGGGTTTGGAGAGATCGCACCCCGTGCGATCTCACCGACCCCGGTGTGTAGATCGAATTCAATCATGCCATTCTTTTAGATATGTGCGCACTCCAGTACCACCTACCCGACCGGTGCCATCTCTCCGACTTTACGGCACTTGTGCGTGAGTTTCGGCGTTGTCCGTGCCCTTATCTGCAGTTTTCATTTCTGTGATTCCCGGAAGGTTCACTTCTCTAAGAAAGCTGGGACCTGTTGGCATCTTTAATTCGTACTTTTAGTTCACCGCGGATATTCGTGTGTTCGCCATTCAAGAGTGAGGCGGTCAGAACGATTGCTCATGTGGTCAAAGCAATGACAACAAAACTGAGCACGTTTGATCTGGTCGTTCTTCTGAATCAACACGACAAAATTTGTCACAAGTGCGCGCACAGGGGATTCGAAAACCAAGACTAAAGAGAGCCCTGCATATGGTGCCACTGCCCCGCCTTATGTTCGTTTTTTGAGACCGCGGAACATGGATATTACTCAAGACTGTACCTTCAGTTGTCGTCCTCTCGCATCTATAAACACCTCCAGCCTCCTGAGAGCATCCAAAGAGACGGCGTGCTGCGGGTCCTCAGTGTCGTCCGTCCAGTGCAGGACTACCTACAGCGCAACGACAGAAGGTGAATCACTCGGGTACGGAGATGATTGAGGTCCCAGCTCGGACAATCACACGTACTGCCGCCAACAATGTGAGGGATGATTAGCAGCAGACATGATTCTTCTACCATCTCCGATTCAAGTACGTCAACAAAGGAATGCTGTAGCACACCGTGCCTTGGGGCAACCAAACCAAACAAAAAAAAACAAACCCGCGTGCAGTGGATTGAATCGAATGTACCGGGTGGCGAGAGAGCGACTCCTAGCTGGTGGGTGTGGCGGGATGCCATGAACGCCCGCACAGGTATTGGTTTCTCCATCGTCCAAGGCGTGTCCGACGATCTCCCGTCGTGGGTTGCAGCCTTCACAGAGCCTTCACGGATGGCACACACTTCGGCTCGAACAAAAATCGGCGTACTTTCTCACGACCCAGGCACTTGTGTGTTAGGCTTGGCCTTCTCGAGCCGGGCCCTTCGCTTGCCTGAGATACCTCAATGGCGAACAAGGAACCACCACCACTTTCGAACGAAGAACTTTCCTGCCACAATGTTCACCTCTCCAGGACGCACGAATGCGACAAGATTGTCGACGTGCCCATCGGTATCAACATCGCCCGTCACTCCCTGCCCAAGCCAAAGCACCAACTCCACCCCAAGGTAGTCTCTCAGGTGCTTCTCAATCTCGCTCTTTGTGAAGGTAGGGTTTCTGGCATAAAAAAACAAACCAAGAGACGGCGAAAACATCCGTCAACTTGAAACGTGTCAAAAACAGTGGCAAGTCCCGCGGGGATGTACGTCATCGCAGCCTGCCGCAAGAAACCTGTATCTCTGCTGTTTGGTTCTGTGAGCATGGAAAGTATACTCATCAATCTTGACCGCCAACGGTTCACACTTGGGAGCTATCCCATATGCTGCGCATGTATGTTTCGTCCGTGTCGGAGAAGGGCAGGCCCCACCTGTTGGGGTTGAGGAGGCATTCTTCCGTAGTGATAACCGTGCCTTCTCCATCCACGTGGACAGATCCCCCCTGATGCAAGACGGGAACACGTCAACGGCGCTTCACGACTTGAACACGGAGAAAAATACTGATTGTATGCGTACTTGACAAGAGAGACTTTTCTGCGACACAACTCGAGTATCCCTGTCACGGACGGTCGGCGCAAATGAATTCCAGCACAATACCTCCAAAACCATGTTTGCCTTGTAGCGATCAGCGCCAATAAGCCCCAGCACCGTACTTGCGATAGCGTCGTCCTTGTCCCAGCTCGAGAAGCAACCCCCAAACTCGCCCCCCCACGCGTTGAAGGACCAATCAACGCCCCGAACATTTCGCATTCCGCGCTGCCGTTCCGAGCTTTCAATACGGGTACCACCGACAACGAATGTGGGTCCTGTATCTCGAATCCAAGCATCGTCTTGTTCGATCACTGCAATGTCAACGCCCGTGGCATCCAGCAGAGGCTGCGCGGATTGCAACTGGCTCGAAGGAACGCCGACTGTCACTGGCTCGAACCGCGCGATCGCCTTAGCCACTGCGGCGAAAGCGAGTTGGGCTGGACGTGCAGACTCTTTCCAGGTGTCTGGTCGCACCGGCCACAGCATCCAGGTTCTGAGGAAAGAAAGGGTGAGAATGGAATCACGAGTATCGCAAAATAAAACCATGAGCACACATGTTTCGTCACTACTGCGTTGGAGTGAGTGCCAGTGAGAGATGCGCAAAGAAATTTCATGCAGCCTACTCCAGGAGAATTCCAGCACAACAAACGCAAGGAAGATGCATATTTACTCTTGAAGGTACAGGCAGCGCTCAACTTTCAAGGGGTCCCTGAAGGGCCTGGCAATTCGTTTCTAGCCTAAATCCAAGGTATTTGGAGGCCAAAACATGGAAACCTACCTTGTGGCTCAGAAAGTTATGTTCAATGGGAAATTGACGTGCGCATTGGCGTGCCCAGATCTGTTGCTGGGATCGTGCTGTCGAAGGCTCGGCAGCTTTGGCCCGACATGTCCCCAAAGTTGGGTCAATGTCACATTCACGATCCACTGCTGTGCGCACCGTTACAGGCCCTACCTTCTGAATTGCGGGTGTACCGCAGTACATATCTCACACCACAAGCTGCCTTGGATGACCAGCACTTTCGGGGATGGGGTCCGTCACCGCGTGTACAGCAAAACGGATCGCGAAGTGTACGGATCAAGGTAAGGACCCAGATCCGGACTTGCCGGACCGCACCTTCAACCTTCGATAGCACACCCCCAGTAACACGTCTTGGCGTGCAGACGCGCTTGTCGCTGCTCAATCATGTCCTCCACATGTTTCCCACCGAATATCAACACTTTGTGACGTCGAGGAATTGTTCATATAGCGGTGGAGTAGGAAGATGTCCTCATCAGAAAGCCAAGACACGGTTGCAGACGCGTCCTTGAAGCACCCGCCGTGTCGCTTGTTTTGTCTTGAAATTGGACTGGTGGGAATTTGTCTTGATTTGAGAGTATGATGTGTGTGTGTGGAGGTACTGTTGTACGCATCCACGGCGCGACTTGCTGGTAAAGACAAAATCCCCAACCCGCTGTTCTGTGCGACAGCTGGAGACTATTTGTCCTGCACTTCCCGACGCGTTTCACGCACCTCTTCTTTTCAAAATTTGCGAGGGAATGGGAGGGTGCATGCACTATCTACAAGTTGTAGGCGCGGTAAATCACGGGAGGGTAATTTGAACGACAACAACGGCCCGTATACTATGCACTCCTTCCGGGTACGAGGAGCAGTTAGACAGTCGCTAGCGGGGACTGCCGTAGAGCCCTCATGGAGCTATAATAGTGGGGTGTGGGGTGGATGACGAGAGGGGTAGATCAGCGATATGTAGGGTCGATGACACACGTAGGGGGTTCCTCCGCTGAGCGACCGCGAGATCAGGACCGAAGTGAGCAGGAGCAGCAGCATCTACAAGCACTTGATTTGCCGCAGGCTTTGCTGAAGGTTTGCGTTCGGGATACAATAAATCGAGAGTCCGTGATACGAATCTAAGGAAGTGTGGGATAAAATCTCAGGCAGGCAACGATAAAGAATGGACAGTCGAAATAATGAAGTACAGTCGACCCCGCTTTAAGGACGCACATGGTTTTTCCCCCAAAAAGCGTCCTTCAAGCGGGGTTGCGTCCTAAAACTTCAGGGGACGATAGCCCACCATCCCCGGGGCCAATGGAGGCATGCTATACCTCAAACTACGCGTCTTTTGCTAAGGAAGGGGGCGGTACGAAAAGTCAGCATCGCCGAGACGACTGGCAACCGTTTGTTGACGTCGAACATACTAACAAAACTTAAAATGAGATGGACAGCAGTCGGGGACGTGTTGAAAACAACTACAGCAAACCAGTTTGTCCTTGGGCCAACTAATGTACTGCATAGCCGGCAGCGGAAGAAGAAGGAAAGTCCAAGTAGACATATATTTATCTCAAAACAACGAGCGTATTTTAGCGTCGCACCGAGGAACACCAGTACATATCACTGTCCCGGCGGAGACCAAAAGCTACCCTGATGGCTTTTCCTTCCAAATAACGCGAAGAGTTCCCCGAACCTCCCCCCGCGGCTTGGCACTACGGCTCTGTTGAGTCTCATGAGTAAACGAATGAACGGTCTTCGAAAGAAGGGTACTGCGTCTCACGGTGAGCCACCCCTTCCCTTCGCGTACACATACAGATAGCGCCCGCAGTTGAGAAAAATTCTGTTGAGAAAGAAGGCTAACGTTTGTACGAAAACGAAAAATAAGAAGAAAGGGCTTGAGAAACATAGCTCAATCTTGGCCACAACGTAAGAAACGCCCTAATAAGAAACATGATGGTGTGATACCCCCATGACATCAGAAATCTGCGGTGCTCCCACCCCCCTCCCAAGCTGGACAGGAGTGCATTTTCTTTGTAGGTGGCGGAGCCCCCCGCCCCTCCCCCCCGCGCCCCTGCTGTTCACAGTGAGTGCTGTACTGTAGTACTGCCACACATCGTTGACAACCATATGCTCTCCGCTGTTGTACGGGATTGACGGCACTCTCCATCACCTCTCATGAGGAACGAGAGGATCGGGAGGATGCGACAGTCCAAAGGANGACAGGAGTGCATTTTCTTTGTAGGTGGCGGAGTCCCCCGCCCCTCCCCCCCGCGCCCCTGCTGTTCACAGTGAGTGCTGTACTGTAGTACTGCCACACATCGTTGACAACCATATGCTCTCCGCTGTTGTACGGGATTGACGGCACTCTCCATCACCTCTCATGAGGAACGAGAGGATCGGGAGGATGCGACAGTCCAAAGGAAGAAGAAATGCCATTTACGAAAATGGACGACTTGGGCCGGTACTTCGACCCAAAAGTAGGGATTGAGGCTCGAACCGATTTTGACGTTTCTTAACTGTCGGATCGAACGTCCTCCAAGCGAGAGATAACCTCGCCCTCGGTGAGGCTCGGTGAGGTACGAGGTTATGCACGACTTTTTTTTGGCGGTATCAGATGGACCGCCGGTGAATGGGAGGAATCTATCCATACCAACACCCTGTTGCAGCTGCAGCACCAGACCTAAAGATTCTTCTGCTGTCTGTGCGTCGCTACTTCTGCACTCACTGTGGTGCGTGGGTCGTGCAAATAGAGGCCCGCAGGCCCGCAGGACACAAATAAGGGGGGTATGCGGCAGAAAAAAATGGGGTTATCCCCATTATCATATATTCTGCCGGGGCCCCTGGTGCTTAGCAGAACAAGTTTCCGTTAAGCGGGGAGATTCCTTAACGCGAGCGTCCTTAAAGCGGGGTCGACTGTATGGGTAGATCCCGTGCCGTAGCCGGAGGCCTCATCCATCCCAAACTTTACCGTCGAGAATAAAAATGTCAATCCATGGAACCGCGAAAGGGTTTCGCAGATTAGAGCAGATTACCTGCCGAGAGAACACCCACTCGTGACAAGCCTTCCCAACCCTAACGGAGGGGAAAGTACGATAGGAAAAACAGCCGTGCCGCCCTCCCAACTGCTGTGTACTTTGTATGTAAATATATACGTACGTCGTATTTGACATACTATTACTTCTTTCTGCGCGACTGCCGCGTTGACGACACGGAGGACGTCAACGCGTGGGTAGTAACCTGGGTGGAGTCTCTAGGCTTTTCGTAGCACGAGAGCTCATGAAATCCCAAACGATACCTCGCCGACAACTATCTCGCAAGACTCCCATATTCGAGGCTCTGGTACATTTTTAAGTTTAACGACAGAAATCCGTCCACCCTTCGTGATAACAACTTCGAAAATATGCAACTAATACAATTGCATTTTACATACGATGTGTACTGTAAACTAATACTTTTTCTCCGTATGAAGTAGAACGAAAACACACAGAACACATAAGTCTGTGCAAATAGACCTATGCAAAAGGCTGCCTCAGAAAAAAAGATACTCTGCTGTATGCATCCTTCTGTATGCACAGAAATACTCCGAGAATGAAATATGCACACACGCGTGGATCATACTGCTTTTGTATTTATACATCTGGCTGTCTGCCCATCTGCCGCCTCTTTGTTCTGTTGGTTCCGTTGCTCCCATGCCCGGGTGCGTAGTGCTTGGTGCTGGTACGGTACCCTTTGATTTTTTCCTTAGGCGGGTGTGGGAAGCGTCCTCCTATATTTTGTTTTTGTTTTATTTTGATCGGATTCCGAGGGCTCTTTTCTCGAACGTTCGGTGCGGTAGCTGTTCTTTCCTTTCGAGCAGTGGCCAAAATCGGGTACACCCGGTCCAAACATGGCCATTATCGGGTACTCCTACAAGACGCTGCTGGACACGACCGACCGCATGACACCATCTGATTGGCCGACGCCCGCCCCTACCCGACCTTAACCGTCTTTCCACCGGGTGCACCCGATCTTGGCTACTCACCCCCCGGAGGATTCTTTCCCCTACTCGAAAATGGCTGGGCTGTTGGGCCAAGCCCATGCACACAAGTACACGTCAGCAATGCCTTGCCCTCGAATTCGGACGTTCTGACGGCGGGCGGGGGCGGATCCACCGCCGGCGGTGGAACTCTCGCTTGGGCGAAACAGCATCAGGCGGCGGTCGGTGCAAATGATCGAGAAGAGCTGTGGATGAATGCCTCACTCACGAGATGCGACACACACGAGACCCATCGAAAAAATAGACATTTTCACTGCTTCTGCTGCTTTCTCACTCATTGGTGACAAACGAGCGGCCAGCGGTGTGCGTCCTACCCGCGATTGTGTGCATGTGGGTTTTCGCCGAACAGCCCAGCCATTTTCGGGTAGGGGAAAGAAAAACCGGGTACTCCTCCGGGGGGTGAGTAGCCAAGATCGGGTGCACCCGGTGGAAAAACGGTCAAGGTCGGGTAGGGGCGGGCGTCGGCCAATCAGATGGTGTCATGCGGTCGTTTCCAGTAGTATCTTGTAGCGGTACCCGATTACGGCCGTGTTTGGACCGGGTGTACCCGATTTTGGCCACTGCTCCTTCCTTCCTATCATTTTGTTTTCTTTTTCCGAATGGTTTGTACCCTATTTCTGTATTTGTTTCCCCGCGGCGTCGTATGTGCCCTTACCCTTCTTCCCCTCGCTGCCTCGGGAAGGTTTTGCGTAGGCATGACCCGTAGCGAG